TAGCATTCTTCCATGTACTCCAATTCATAAATGGCCGCTGAGAGGTACATACGTATTTGAAGTTGCAGAAATTTTTACACTGTGGTTGTCAAAATTGTCTGGCCAAGGTTATAATAATAAATTCCTTGTTATATTATTAAGACAGAAGTACGAGTGTGCAGTATGATATTATTAAAAATGTTGTACACATTTGAAGTAGAATTTCATTCTAACCTAAAATCTTTCGGTTAGACCTGCTGTCTTGTGCATGAGTTTTACGTATTTGCAGAAAAATTTAATGTTTTCCGTGACATTTGACGTGTAAAGCAAATAATTCAGGGTACATACAAAAGTTAATAGTAATAGTATATACTAATAATTATTACTAATAATAGTATATACAAATATTACTAATAATTACTAATAATAGTATATACAAAAGTTACAAAAGTTACAAGCAACATCATTACAAGTTTGCGTGAGACGCAATCTTTCTTTTTTTTCTTTTTTTAATCTCTTTCCACGGAAACTTTAGTGAATTATGTTGTACAACTAAATTTGAAACTAGATTAAAAACGTATCTATGTAAAAGTTACAAACAACATATTACAAATATACGTATATTTAGTAAAAAAAAAAAAAAAATTAACGCGAGACGTTATTTTTTTATATGATCATTTCTTAGCGCTATTGTTCTTTGTCCAACGCCATTCGGCGAATTTTTGGTGATATTTTTGGTAGATGAGTGTAAATGGCGATTGGAAGAAACGCGAGACTTTTGCGGTTATAGGATTTGGCTGTCCAGACCTGTGCACGAGGTTCTAAGTTCCAGGTTCCTTAAACAGTGACCCACTTCAGAAAATGGAAAGATATTGAGAAATACTTTCGAGAGAAGTATTGAAAATATTTTGCTACGGTTATTTCAAAACACGATATGAATTATACATAGTAGCATCATAGTTTCTTTATCTCCGGCAGTTTACTCGTTCAGTGACTTTTGTTGACCTTAAATTTTATTTCTTCGATCAGCCTTCTTTGACAGATAAAAGCTTCAATCAGTGTAAGATTTAAGTTAACTGAGCGTTGATCAACTTAGCCTATTAAATTGTTCAGATTCTAATTTCAGTACCAACGATACACAAATAATATTGAGTTACGTATAACTCAATGTGAATCTTTCGATAATTTCAGAAAATATTATGAATAAAATTTCGTCGTGAAAATCCGAAAATCACCACAGAGAGATATAATTCAGAAATTTCGATACAATTCGTAAATCTTTAACCTTTCCTTTCAAAAGTTGCATTTCACTTAGCACAGAATTCTTGGCCAAATTGTCGAAATAAATTTCTACGCTTGTTTCTC